CAAGATAATTTGTTAAAATTTGTCACATACTCTTTTCTGGATCCAATGACAGCGCCTGTTGAAAATAATTGAAATCGGCCCATTATTTCACCTAGCCATCATACGATCGTACAAGAATAGACATTATTTGGAACCATATTGTATATTGTACTAAGATCAACATTTTTAATCACTGATAGGAAACAGTACATTAATACGCATCGATTGAGAAGTACTTCTGCAAGAGATTCTTAAAAAGACAGTTTTTCGGTACACCAATTCTTTAATTCCTAGATGCAAAGAAATCTGTGACAAAAAATTTGGATGTAACTTTTGAAAGAACCTTTATAAATTCAAGTTCACTCTAGATATTCCAACGTTATCGCTACTAATTTATCATTCAATTGCGACCCCTTAAACCGTTAAACAGTTCTATAGCTGCGTTATGACTATTGACTATGAGCCCCCAAATTTAACTTAAATTTTTATCATACCTTTAGCAACAATTCTAAAAATTTCAAATTCAATTAAATTATCTAAACTGCTATAAATAAGCTACCTAAACACCTTCAATTCAACGCCATTAACACTTAAAAATTTTTTTTTTGTAAATTATCTCGTTTAAAATTAATCACCAACAATAATGTTGTGTTTTTTTTATCGAAATTTAATAATGTATTTTTTAAACCGTTACGATTTGTTCTTCATTAATTTAAGCGTAAAGTTCATTCATAAAATTCATTCATTATAAAAGATTATTATTTCTTTTTTTTTTCATTATTTGCATTTTACTTTGTTTTTTTTTTTTTTTTTTTTTTTTTTTTGTCATATTAAATGATACAAATGAAACCAAATTATTTGAACGTGGAAAAATAATAAAAGACATAAAATGAAACGAAACAAAAACAAAATTCAAAATCAAGGTTAAGTTTCATTACAACTTTAAGCAAAATTTCAGCACATTTTAAACAACAACAATAGTAGACAAACAGACTGTCAGCGAGTGCAACTGTGTCTATTAGACAGTAGTTGATGTATAAGACAACCAGTAAAATAGACAAATAACAACTGAAAACATTAATTATTGGGAATTAATGTTTCACGTTTTTAGACTACAAACATACATAGATACATAGAAGTAAAGTTTATACACCATTTCCCCCAGCTGTGTTTAAATTTAAGGCAATTTAGTATTGAGATTATTTATCACAATTTAAGAATGATTAATTTATATTGTATTTAGCCTAGAGCTTAAATCTTATTTTGTTGCATAAATGTTTTTATATATTAAAACAATTTAAATTGTTAAACGATTGTTTCTTAAGAAGTTAATGTTTGCTACAGCAAATAGTACAACCATTTGCCGGCAACAGGATAGGTACTTCTTCGGATGCAAGGTTATAAGGTCACTTGGGAATGATTTCACATACAAATTACGGTGGCCCCGTTTTAATGAATAGAAATAATGATGTTCACACCGAAAAAGAGAGAGCTTGCTCCATTCTGTTTGGTTTCTCAAAATTGTTATCCTGAGGTTAATATTTGGTGAGCTGGGCCAAAGGTCCTTTTTTAAGATTTTTTCGATTTTTTTCATGTTTTACACAAAGGAATGATATGACATTTTGATATCATGTGAAAGGTCTTTGAGAGGCGCTTGCATATCATAATTTTCTAGTTCATAGATATTAAAAATTTTATGGTTTTGTGGATAAACTTTACATTTACCCTTCACCTTCATGCGAAGGGTTTATATAAGTTTGTCATTCCATTTGTAACATAATTTTCCAACCCATATATATTCCGAGCCTTGCCCGAGTCTGTCTGTCTGCCTGCCTGCCTGCCTGCCTGTCTGTCTGTCTGTCTGTCTGTCTGTCTGTCTGTCTGTCTGTCTGTCTGTCTGTCTGTCTGTCTGTCTGTCTGTCTGTCTGTCTGTCTGTCTGTCTGTCTGTCTGTCTGACTGTCTGTTTGTCCGTCTGTATGTTTGTTAAAATCAATTTTCTAAAGACCCCAGATATCTTCGGTAACCAAATCTTTAACAATTCTGTCAGATATGCTCTCGAGAAGTTTCCTGTTTAAAATCAGCAAAATCGGACCATAAATAAGAGACATGAGCAGAAATACGAAACAACATCCGAAAATTTCATCAAAAAAGAGATTTTTTGTACATGCTTAGACAAAAAGAAATAACAACAACAATATACAGCTTCATATTGTAATTATTGTTCTTGTACTTAGTTTACTTGTTAAAAAAAAAACAAAACGGAGCAAGATCAACAAATTAAGTATATATGCTGTGTGTTATCATAGTTTTGTTAATGCCAAAATCATAGATAGAAAATTGTGTATACGAAATTGTTTTTTGCAACTCTGGTACCAAGTACTATTTTTGGTACTTTTTTCGTTCTTCAAAAGGTACTTTTTGAGTTTTCTGTAATATTTAACCTAGAAACATCAAATTATGCATGTAGAGCCCGGGGGAAATAAGAACTTATAAAAGGGGACATTATGGCACTTTTTTCATTCTTCAAAAGGAACTTTTTGAGTTTTCTATAATATTGAACCAAGAAACAATAAATTAAGCATATAGAGCACGGAATAAATCCAAACCTATAAAAGGGGACTTTTTGGTACTTTTCCGTTCTTTAACTCGTACTTTTTATAATATTGAACCTAGAAACATAAAATTAAGCATGTAGAGCCCGGAAATATGAAAAAATATGGAAAAGTTACAAAAACCTAAAAAAGGTCCTTTTTATCTTTTAGCCCAGCTCACCAAATATTAACGCCAGGACAAAAATTTTCATAAATGGTATCTTAGAATGAATTAAATTTTCATTTTCGGTGGAAACAACTTCCATTTTGGGGCTACCCTATGTAACTATACTTTTTCTGTGGGATTTCTGAGATCTCTTGTTAATCGCCATAAAAATTAATATATTAACTAACAGATTCATTGAAAATTTTACTACTCAGACACTTTATAAAAATTATTTTTTTTAATATTAACTGTAGAAACAGTGTAAATCGTAGCATAGAGGCATTCATTTAGCCACAATAGCCACATTGGCTATTGGCGTATGGCTAATGATAACAGCTTGTTAACATGCCATTAAACAAATGACCAACATACATTAATGTCAGTAAATACTCTTAGACATGTGAAACATGTCAGCTATAGCAGCAATTCTTCTTATATGTTTAAATATTAAACGTGGAAATGAAACAAATACATTCATAAAAGAGAGAAAATAACTTTGAATATTGTCATTTTATATCACTGACGAACTACCCAGTGTTTTGTTATGGCAAAGTTAAATATTATAGGTTTGTGCTGATGTTTGTAACGATCTAATCAGCCATTCGACTTAGAATCACTTTATAGATCAATTTAGCTATGTCTGTCTGTCTGTCTGTCTGTCTGTCTGTCTGTTTAGCTATGTCTGTCTGTCAGTCTGTCGGTCTGTCGGTCTGTCGGTCTGTCGGTCTGTCTGTCTGTCTTTCTGTCTGGCTGTCTGTCTGTCAGTCTGTCTGTAAATCCATGTAAATTTGCCAAACGAACGAAGCCTACTTGTCTAGTCTGTTCACTGATTTTAAAGATATATGTTGTGCAAAAAAGTACTAAAATACTGTTTTTAAACGTTTATTACCTAAAAGGGCAGAATTTAAAAAGTGAAGAGAGTATCAATAGGGGCTTGTGAGGTACCAATGAATTAATGATAAAAATTCTTATATCTGGGAAATTATTGAAGCTTCTAGCTTCCTTAAATTTTGCACGAACAACTTTGACATCCATGTAAAAATTTTGAGTGATAACTTGGTGGTTTAGTAATAGGTGGCGTGTCACTTCCCATATGAAATAAATACAAAAATTCATATATTTATCTGGGAAACTGTTAGAGCTAGAACACACTTTGCAAGAACAACATTGAAATACATTCATAGAGAAGAAACCAAAAAAATCCACTCACCTAATTAATAGTAAGAATACGGCCTTTAAATGTCCAAAATTTTTTAATCCCCCAATGTCTACTTAACAAGATATTTTCGTTCAAAGTTGATAAAATTAAATTCCTTATTAAAGTGATTCTTAGTGTACATACGAACACTAGGGGATAAAATTAGTGCACTGGATATAGTGGGCGGCCACTTCCCACATAAAAAATTTTAAGAGAGAAAAGTATGAGAAAATAAAACAGTTATAGTACTGAAACTTTGCGGGAGCCCCTTTAGTATCATTTTGAATATTTACGATACAAATGGCAATAGTGGCGTGGTACTATATACCTATGTATATCTGGAGAACCATTAGGATTTGAACATTTTGAAAATCGGTTAACTTACAATAGTGGGCGTTGCACCTCCCATATGAATTTAATACTAAAGTGAATGTTTTTAATTATAGAATTTAATTCAACAATAATATTTTCATACAAACATTCTTTAATTCTTCAGCTATTTTGAAGAAAATCTGTCAAAATATTTTTGACTATAAAGCTGACACCTTATAAAATCTAAAAATAAATAATTTACTCAGAAACCATCACTTTTACTTCGAATGTGCTGATGTGAATGTCAATTTTCTTCATTGGTTCATGGACACTAAAGGTACAACATACATATATGGGGTTTGTATATTTATTAACTTTTCTTATTAATATTGAAAGCTAGACATTTTATTTAAATTTCTTTAAAACTGACAGGCAGACATATATTTTTACTGGAATTATAAATTTGTATACACTTAGCAAACAGGACAGACAGCTTTAAAGTACAGTGAAGAGAATGTTTGTTCTGATGATCTTAAGCAGTACATCAGATAAAATCATATTGCTCTCCACTGTACATAGACAAATACATATATATGTATGTATGAGTATTAATATATAACACATTTACAACACCTCGAAGCCTTTAATTTTAAGTTCTGTTATTGAAATTTTCTAAGAAAATTTCCCTTGATTATCATAAAATTTCTTATGTATTTATATGTTCTTTGGAATTAAATTGAAAAACTGAATGGGTTTCTAATAATATTTAAAATTCTTTATTTAAAGACGTATTTAATAGTAAAATGTATGTGCTTTATGTATAAAATATTTATGTAATGTTCAAACAATTTATGAATTTATAAAAATATTTAGATGTAAATGATGAACGAAATTTGATAAGAAAAAACAACCTAAATATTTAACAAAGTTATAACAACAAAAAAATAATAACAAGAAAACAATAATAAAAAAATTGGCTAATAAGTCATTATATAGACTCAACACTAATTATGGCAACATTTACTTCCTCTTCTTAAGGAAATAGCGGCTTTGGTTGGGAACACCATAAGTGGCAGCTGGCACATGAGCGGGTTCTTCCATTTCTTCTACAACAATGGGAGCTGGAGTAGTTTCAGGAGGCAAATATTGATTGAGGGGCTCAGCAGCAGCAGTGGGTTGGGGCTCTTCGTTTACGAAATTGTTCGTAGAGGGAGCATTATAGAGTTCAGCACCAGCAGCAGAGGGTGGTTCTTCGTTAGTATATTGAGGTTGAACCTGTTGTTGCTGTTGTTCCTCTTCGTATTGGGGTTGTTGGGTAGTAGGAACCATTTCGTATTGACCAAGATCCATAGGCATAAAATCGTTACCTTCACTAGCAGGAGCTTCAGCAATCTGACGAGGTTCAACTTCATTGGTGGCTGGTGGTGGACCATAGACGGGAGCTTCTTCCTTCTTGGTCTTGTACTTGATGAAGTATACTTCAGGTTTGGAGGGTTTGGTGGGAGCTGGTGTGGGAATGACAATATCGGGTTGAGCTTCTGGTTTCTTGTGCAATACATAGATAAGAGTCTTTTCTTCGTTTTGTGGTGCAGGTGGTACAATGGGAGCACGCATGGCAGGTGCTGAGGGAGCCTTGATGAAGACAATCTTGTAGTGTTTTTGCTTGGGACCACCTTCATGAACTACACGGGGTTGCATGGCTTCTTCCTCTTCGAAATCTTTGGGGGGCACATGAACATAAATGTGTTTGTGCACTTGAGTTTCGGTAGGTCCATTGTCATAACCAGTTTGATGTTGTTGAGAGGTGGAATGACGATAAGCAGCTTTATAAGAATCCTCTTGAGGCATGTCCACAGCAGGTGTTTCAGGGTTAGATTGAGTCAAAGAATCAGAAGAGGGGGCAACAGCTGGAGCACCATAAGTGGGGGCGGGGGCAGCGAAATTGGCAAAGCTATGTTCTTGGGGCAATTGCTGGTAAACATGAGGCTTAGCAGCATGTGCTGTTAACAAATTAAATAAGGTTTAGAACATTATTACACTGTTTCTCCCAAATAACTACAAACACTTACCATTCAAAGGTAAAGCTCTTTGATTTTGTTGTTGTAATCCCATATATACTGGTGGTTCGGGGCGAGCCATTACACTGGCCACAGCCAAACAAGAAAACAAATAAAAAGCACGCATTTTCATTCTAAATTAAATGTTTGAACACAATAAAATAATCCTGATAGTTGTTAATCCTTAGGAATACTTTGATTAACCGAAAATCGTTTGTTTGTTAATTGAACTATGCTATGAAAAGCTAAGCACGGAACTGATGTCTTTACCAAAATTACCACACAAATTTATACAAATTTTCTGTATTCGATTTGAGTTCGGAGATCGAAAGAAAGAAAGAAAAAATCTCCACAATATTGAAACCAAAAAACTATTAACAACAACTACAACTAAATGGTCAAAAATATCTCAAAAATCAAAAACTATTTAATTAAAAAAGTTTAAATCAATAACAAGAGCAACCGAAAAAACACAAAACGAACGAACAGAAAAAAACAATTACCAACAAATATTTCGCCCTACTCATTAATTGTAGTAAAAACAAAAACGTTTAAAAGTAACCCAAAACTATTTTATCTTCTTCTTTTTTTTTTGGATCATACATATTATTTCATCAATAAAAAGAAGATGTCTTTAATGATGTTGATGACGAAGATGATGGTGATTTGTTTTCGCCCAAAGTTACAATTAAAAAATGTGTCTACTAAATACATACATATATTTGGCCACACAAAGACATGTACAATCTTTCCTCTCCGTTTGCCCAACTAAGTTCAAAAAGTTTGAACAAATTTGCTATTTTTGGTATAAGTCCAAAAAAAGTTTGTCTTTCTGTGGTAAGAAAAAAAACTGTGTTTAATACTTGCTTTTCATGCTGCTATAAGTTTATGAAGCTGTAGGCATAATTTAGACCCATATCGGTCACTGCATGATAAGTTGTTGTACAGATACATATCGAACATATCGGACTGACGTAAAGCTAGAACCTGATCTTAAGTATGATATATAGAATAAACGAAATGTCTACAGCTGAACTCTGCCAACTAACTAACAAACCAACTAACTAACTAACTAACTAACTAACTAACTAACTACTAACTAACTAACTAACTAACTAACTAACTAACTAACTAACTAACTAACTAACTAACTAACTAACTAACTAACTAACTAACTAACTAACTAACTAACTTAACTAACTAACTAACTAACTACTAACTAACTAACTAACTAACTAACTACTAACTAACTAACTAACTAACTAACTAACTAACTAACTAACTAACTAACTAACTAACTAACTAACTAACTAACTAACTAACTAACTAACTAACTAACTACTAACTAACTAACTAACTAACTAACTAACTAACTAACTAACTAACTAACTAACTAACTAACTAACTAACTAACTAACTAACTACTAACTAACTAACTAACTACTAACTAACTACTAACTAACTAACTAACTAACTAACTAACTAACTAACTAACTACTAACTAACTAACTAACTAACTAACTAACTAACTAACTAACTAACTAACTAACTAACTAACTAACTAACTAACTAACTAACTAACTAACTAACTAACTAACTAACTAACTAACTAACTAACTAACTAACTAACTAACTAACTAACTAACTAACTAACTAACTAACTAACTAACTAACTAACTAACTAACTAACTAACTAACTACTAACTAACTAACTAACTAACTAACTAACTAACTAACTAACTAACTAACTAACTAACTAACTAACTAACTAACTAACTAACTAACTAACTAACTAACTAACTAACTAACTAACTAACTAACTAACTAACTAACTAACTAACTAACTAACTAACTAACTAACTAACTAACTAACTAACTAACTAACTAACTAACTAACTAACTAACTAACTAACTAACTAACTAACTAACTAACTAACTACTAACTAACTAACTAACTAACTAACTAACTAACTAACTAACTAACTAACTACTAACTAACTAACTAACTAACTAACTAACTAACTAACTAACTAACTAACTAACTAACTAACTAACTACTAACTAACTAACTAACTAACTAACTAACTAACTAACTAACTACTAACTAACTAACTAACTAACTAACTAACTAACTAACTAACTAACTAACTAACTAACTAACTAACTAACTAACTAACTAACTACTACTAACTAACTAACTAACTAACTAACTAACTACTAACTAACTAACTAACTAACTAACTAACTAACTACTAACTAACTAACTAACTAACTAACTAACTAACTAACTAACTAACTAACTAACTAACTAACTAACTAACTAACTAACTAACTAACTAACTAACTAACTAACTAACTAACTAACTAACTAACTAACTAACTAACTAACTAACTAACTAACTAACTAACTAACTAACTAACTAACTAACTAACTAACTAACTAACTAACTAACTACTAACTAACTAACTAACTAACTAACTAACTAACTAACTAACTAACTAACTAACTAACTAACTAACTAACTAACTAACTAACTAACTAACTAACTAACTAACTAACTAACTAACTAACTAACTAACTAACTAACTAACTAACTAACTAACTAACTACTACTAACTAACTAACTAACTACTAACTAACTAACTAACTAACTAACTAACTAACTAACTAACTAACTAACTAACTAACTAACTAACTAACTAACTAACTAACTAACTAACTAACTAACTAACTAACTACACTAACTAACTAACTAACTAACTAACTAACTAACTAACTAACTAACTAACTAACTAACTAACTAACTAACTAACTAACTAACTAACTAACTAACTAACTAACTAACTAACTAACTAACTAACTAACTACTAACTAACTAACTAACTAACTAACTAACTAACTACTAACTAACTACTAACTAACTAACTAACTAACTAACTAACTAACTAACTAACTAACTAACTAACTAACTAACTAACTAACTAACTAACTAACTAACTAACTAACTAACTAACTAACTAACTAACTAACTAACTAACTACTAACTAACTAACTAACTAACTAACTAACTAACTAACTAACTAACTAACTAACTAACTAACTAACTAACTAACTAACTAACTAACTAACTAACTAACTAACTAACTAACTAACTAACTAACTAACTAACTAACTAACTAACTAACTAACTAACTAACTAACTAACTAACTAACTAACTAACTAACTAACTAACTAACTAACTAACTAACTAACTAACTAACTAACTAACTACTAACTAACTAACTAACTAACTGACTGACTAACTAACTAACTAACTAATCAGTTTCTTGTTATTCTACAAAAATTGTTCACATATATTTCCCAGGGCGCTCTGGAAAGCCCCATATAACTTTAAAGGCAACATCTTCATTCATTAACGCAACCTTCGTTTAAGTGTTAAAGTGTCATTTTTCGTTTAATCCAAATATAAAACAAAAAGTAAAAATCTCAACCAAAGAGCAACAATTAAATAAATTGTTGATCTCTTTTCTGTTTTGTTTTTTAATTGGTGCAAACTACTTGTTGTAAATAGTACATTTAATACACTTATAGTTTCGTTTTGTATTTACCACTAACATTTGGTATAATACAACTTATCTATTGTAGGTTTGTTGGCGTTTATTTGCTACTTAAATGAAATAAAAATCAAAAGTGATTCCATCATCTTCATCATTTCTGTAAATGTATCTACCACTAACAAATAAAACATAGTACCCAGTAGTTCCTACTTAGCTCTAATTCGTCTTTCTTCACTTATGTACTATTTTTCTTAAGCGAAAAGATTTATTGCCACGTATAATACTTAGTATAGCTTTGGATTGTCTCTTAATCATGGGTAGTCGGGTGGCTACAGTTAAATAGCTAGTTTGGGACTGTCTCCCTGAACTGCTGGGTAGTTTGTAAGAGCTGAAGCTGTGTAGAAAAAGAGACACAGAAGCACAATAGGTAAACAACCATCAATAGATACAATTTGACTAAATAAATCTGGCCATAATCATAGGCACACCATATAACAGTGTTACAGCACAATGACTAGACACCAGCAGTAGGCTTAGTTAAATGTTGGTATTAAGTTACCGGCATCTGTGTACGATTTTTCATAATATTGTGCTGTGTCTTTCTATAGTCAATCCACAACCATTCTGCAGTGTTTTCATTCAATATCTCAAAATAACATCACTTTACGAAAGTCGGGAGTTAAGAAAATTCGATACACTTCAATTTGAGTTTTTTTTTTGGTAAAGGCATTATCCCTTTTATTTCTTCGTTTGAGATTTAGCTTTTAGTGTCAATATTAATTTACTTTTTCCGAACATGTTTAAGGACATTTTTGTTTTCTGTGTATCAAGAATTTTAAGTGCAATTGAATGTGATAAAGCTGACGACGATGTCACAGTTGATGATTTTAGAATATACTCTAAGTGTTTGCTTGATTGAGTATTTGAAGTAGTGCAAAAGATTTATTTATAAGTGTTTAGAGAATTGTAAAGTAAACAGATATTAAATGTTAAGTAGTTGGTCAACTTAATCCTAGATACCAGAAAAAATAAATATGTTAAAAATATTTACATAAAACTAGAACTGATATTAAGAAATTTTATGTCATATTTAGATTAAAAGGCGTCAGATAAATTTAAATATAAAGTAAATACATGGAATGAGACAAGGAGCTAGGTACGTATTCAAATTTAACTTTCTTAACTTTTGTAGGAAAAAATTGAAATAGGTAGTTAGTTAGTTAGTTAGTTAGTTAGTTAGTAGTTAGTAGTTAGTTAGTAGTTAGTAGTTAGTTAGTTAGTTAGTTAGTAGTTAGTTAGTAGTTAGTAGTTAGTTAGTTAGTTAGTTAGTTAGTTAGTTAGTTAGTTAGTTAGTTAGTTAGTTAGTTAGTTAGTTAGTTAGTTAGTTAGTTAGTTAGTTAGTTAGTTAGTTAGTTAGTAGTTAGTTAGTTAGTTAGTTAGTTAGTTAGTTAGTAGTTAGTTAGTTAGTTAGTTAGTAGTTAGTTAGTTAGTTAGTTAGTTTGTTAGTTTAGTTGTTAGTTTGTTGTTAGTTAGTTAGTAGTTAGTTAGTTAGTTAGTTAGTAGTTAGTTAGTTAGTAGTTAGTTAGTTAGTTAGTTAGTAGTTAGTAGTTAGTTAGTAGTAGTTAGTTAGTTAGTTAGTTTTAGTTAGTTAGTAGTTAGTTAGTTAGTTAGTAGTTAGTTAGTAGTAGTTAGTTAGTTAGTAG